GAATAATCGATAAATAAATAATTAACGGAGAAACTAGATACCTTATTAAATAGAAGGGATACGTAAGTAACGAAAATATATAGGAACCCGCTAAATACCTCACGAACTATAGCTACTTATTACGATAGTTCTATCGGACCTAGCTAAACTAAAATCCGCTAAGATCGAAGGATCGAGCGGCACGTCCTCGTATATAATATCCCACGCCTATATAAAGTTAGGCTCTAGGAAGTTCTTAGTAGAGGAGCGACTAGCGGAGGAACCCGATATTTCTAACCGCCTTTACTCGCGCTTAGCCTCCTCCCGCTCTACGCGTTCTAGCTCCTCCACGCTATTAATACCACGAGATATAGCTCTTATTATCTTCTCAAACTATAGTTTCTTTTATTTTCGGAGGCGCAGGACTTTCTCCTCCGCTCGTTTAAGTTCGGTCTCGAGTTTCTAATATTATTCGGCGATCTTACGAAGCTACGAGGTAGAAACCCTACTAACGTCATAGGCTAAGCGATTTAAATAAACGTACTTAGTATAACGAGAGGAATTATCGGCAGAAACCTAATAAGTTTTTAGGCCGCGATATTTATAATTAGAGTAAGTAAGTATTTCGACGGAATATACGAAAATAGTTTTAAGAAGACGGATCTTATGCTCTTTAGCGTCGGAAGACGATTTCTATATATGCTTAGCGACACGGCCGGATATAGCGAGGAAGTTAAAAGAGAGAAAACTTACTAGGACTAATAGGTCGGGGAAAGGCGCGTAATAAATAATCTTAGGGATAAGATCTCGAAAGGAGGGGTATTATATTACGACCTAATATACGGCCTTTACGTGCCTCTAGGTATACCTTACTCTTTTTTACCTATTTATAGTATAATTATTACTTATACGAATAATCGTACCTACGATTATTACGATTACTACGAATTACTACGAATAAGCTAAATAGATTATTATTAGGAATAATAATCACCCTAGTATATAGGAAGCCTAGCTTTACTATAGTTAGTCTTTACCTAGCTATTAATATAATTATCTACGTAAGATCTACTATCTCGCACATAGACTATAACCCGACCGCTTAAGTCGGCGATATCCTAGTATACTTAGTTTATAAACCGACCTTAGATCTACCTACCCTATAGCTAGTCTAACCCGAACGTCACAATACTATCGATACCACGAGATATAGCTCTTATTATCTTCTTAAACTATAGTTTCTTTTATTTTCGGAGGTATAGGACTTTCTCCTCCGCCCGTTTAAGCTCGGTCTTAAGTTTCTAATATTATTCGGCGATCTTACGAAGCTACGAGGTAGAAACCCTATTAATATCGCAGGCTAAGCGATTTAAACGGACGTACTTAGTATAACGAGAGGAATTATCGGTAGAAACCTAATAAGTTTTTAGGCCGCGACGCTTATAGTTAGAGTAAGTAAGTATTTCGATAGAGTATACGAAAATAGTTTTAAGAAGACGGATCTTACGCTCTTTAGCGTCGGAAGATAATTTCTACGCACGCTTAGCGACACGGCCGGATATAGCGAGGAAGTTAAAAAAGAGAAAACTCACTAAGACTAATAAATCGGGGAAAGGCGCGTAATAAATAATCTTAGGGATAAGATCTCGGAAGGAGGGGTATTATATTACGACCTAATATACGGCCTTTACGTACCTCTAGGCATACCTTACTCTTTTTTACCTATTTATAATATAATTATTACTTACACGAATAATTATACTTACGATTATTACGATTACTACGAATTACTACGAATAAGCTAAATAGATTATTATTAAGAATAATAATTACCTTAGTATATAGGAAGCCTAGCTTTACTATAGTTAGTCTTTACCTAGCTCCCTAGCTATTAATATAATTATCTACGTAAGATCTACTATCTCGTATATAGACTATAACCCGACCGCTTAAGTTAACGATATCCTAGTATACTTAGTTCATAAACCGACCTTAGATCTACCTACCCTGTAGTTAGTCTGACCCAAACGTCACACTTAAGGCCCTGTGAGTTAGAAGGCTAAGAAGGCTACTACTATAGCACTCTTAACGCTAGAGGCTGAATCCGATAGCCTTACAGAAGTAATTCGAGAGCTACAGTGGCTATAGGGGCTCTATAAGGAGCTAAAACAGCCCTTTATAACCCCTATTCAGGTCTTCTATAATAACTAAGGCGCTATAAGTAACGCCTATAACCCGACCTTACACGCCCGCATAAAGCACACCCTTCTAAAGTTCCACTATAATAGGGAATAAGTGCTAAAAGGGCTGCTAAAGCTAGCCTATATTAATACTAAGGCTATGCTAGCTAATAGCCTAACAAAGGCCCTAACAGCCCCCTTGCAGTAGCAATTTCTAGCGCTATTAGGCCTAGTTATTCTTACTAAAGACCCTACCACAGAACCCTTAGAGGGCTCTTAGGCATAGAGGGGGTGTTAAAAATAAGGGACTAATTCCTTAATTAGGTGCCTTACGAGGCCCTCTTATAGAACCCTTACAGGGATCTATCTAAGACCTATTATAGGGGTCCATAGCGCTTATAAATATAGTGCTTCTATTGCCCTCTATAATATTCGAAGGCTAGTACTACCACACTCGCTATTATAAATTAGACTTTCTATAACCTTTTATTAAGTTCGGTTTAACCTACTCTTTTATAGGGTATTATAGCGCCCTCACGCCTATAAATATAAGCCTTTGTTCACTACTAGATAGTTCTAAATTAAGTTATTTATTTACTAAGTTCTTTACCTATATCTTACCTACCCTAAAGAGAAGATTGCTAAATCGGTCGCTTTCTTCCTTTACTAAAGGGATTCCTAGATTATCGCGATTCACTTACCCTGCGCCTAGAAGAGTATTACTCTTTAATAAGTATATTAAATAAAAGCTATTAATATATAACGTTCGGGTTAGACTAGCTATAAGGTAGGTAGATCTAAAGTTAGTTTATAAACTAAGTATACTAAGATATCGTTAACTTAAGCGGTCGGGTTATAATCTATATACGAGATAGTAAATCTTATGTAAATAATTATATTAATAATTAAGGAGCTAGTAAAGACTAACTATAGTAAAGCTAGGCTTCTTATATACTAGAGTAATTATATATAATCGCGTATAGGCGACTATTATCTATAGGCGGGTTTATAATATAATCGACTATAGATATATAGCGGCTATAGTCGTTTCCTTATATATATAATGCGTGGTTGCGTTAATTAAAGAGAAAATATAAGGTATACGTAAGAGGCGCATGCGGTCGTATATCGGGTCGTAATAGTTATTAATATAATTATTTATATAAGATTTATTATCTCGTATATAGACTATAACCCGACCGCTTAAGTTAACTATATCTTAATATACTTAGTTTATAAACTAACTTTAGATTTACCTACCTTATAGCTAGTCTAATCCGAATATTATATATAGCTACCCCTATACCTATATATTACGACCTAATATGCGGCCTTCACGTGCTTCTAGGCATACCCTATTATTTTCTACTTATTTATAGCACGATTATTACTTATACGAATAATCGCACCTACGATTATTACGATTATTACGAATCACTACGAATAAGTAGAATAAATTATTATTAAGGATAATAATTACCTTAGTATATAGGAAGCTTAGCTTTACTATAGTTAGTCTCTACCTAGCTCCCTAGCTATTAATATAATTATTTACGTAAGATTTACTATCTCGTATATAGACTATAATACGACCGCTTAAGTTAACGATATCCTAGTATACTTAGTTTATAAACCGACCTTAGATCTACCTACTCTATAGCTAGTCTGACCTAACTATCACACTATAGAACTTCGTTTTACCCGCTATTTCAGGCCTTATTAACTATACTATAGTGAGCAATAGGGAAAAAACGCTTAAATAGCTACTTCTAGAAGACCTAGAGACTTCTAAAGCCTATAGCCTAAACTTTCAGGCTCTTAGGGCTATCAGAGCCGACTATAAGGTTCTAATACCCCCTAAACAACGCGTTAAGGGCGCTAAATTAGCCCCTAGAACGCTACCCGGCAAGGTGCTAGCCACACTAGGCAAGAACACCTATCAGGTCTATCTTCCTTCTAGAAGATTAGTTATAAAGACTAGTTTTCTCACTATAAGGGAGAACATAGGTGTCAGACGCATGTCGCATGGCAAGGTTGTTACAGGCCACAAGGTGGCTGGGGTCGCTGGCCCTGTGGCTGGGTGTGGCACAGGAAGCCTCGAGTGGGTCACATGCAGCGGGGCGCACAGAGGAAAAGGCTTTCGTGGCCATAGGATGCTTCGAGGGAGGTCAAGAGATTAATATAGTCACCAGTCGCCCCGAACTCGCAGCGACCTAGCAGCGTACTCTCCCACCTTATGCACCTTCTCACTCTCTTCATCGAATCCAGTTTCTGACACCTAGACCCGAACGTTATAATATAGTTCCTTCGAATCTTATTTTCGTCCTATGTGAGCCTTCTCTGAAATGATGCCATGTAGGGGCTCTCTGTTGTAGTGGTGGGAAAATTACCGTATCTGGAATGAAGGGGCTCTCGAACCACGCGGTTATTGAACAGAGGAGAAAGGGTCCGGAGATGACAAGCAGCGAGACTTCCTAGGGCGTCTTCTTCGTCACGCACCCCATAAGCTGACTGGCACCTGTTCCTTGACGATTGTGGCCGTTTTGCTGTGAGTGGTGTGCTGGGACTGTTTCATGTTCCTTTTAGACAACCAAGGTCTACTCGAGAGAACAGAAGGAACAAAAGTAGCCTGCAGGCTGCGACGGCGTCGTTTTGGCGCGGGCGTTCCTAATGATTAGAGCTACGACGTAATGTTTGTAAAGCGCTACGCGTCCTGCTTAGCAGTATATGCCTCCTGGAGTTTTCTAATGACATGGCAACGCTTATATGGATGGGAGGCGTAGCAAGAGTCTTCAGAAACGTAGAGAAGAGAATGGGATCTATATTTGCAGCACGACAAGGCGTATTAAATGGAAATTTCGTTATTGCTATTATCTTCTTCTGTGCGGTACTAGTAGCTCTATTGAGACGTAATGCATTGCCGTCTAACGGTTGCAAGCTAGTAGCTAACCCCCAACCGCAATCCAGTGTGTCCTTTCAAGAGCCCCCCTTCCGCTTGAGGAGACTATAGTAATGCTGCTGAATATCGATAGGGTCTGTAGGCTCGCGGTTTCCTTCATAATTACCTTGTCCATGGCCATTGAAATGTACCTTCCAGGCTGTCGGGAATGGTTAGAATTTCTTGCATAACTTGTAAAGGAAACCTTTAGTAGAGAGGGAATATCTTACTGCTGGCATCAAAAGCAAGGTACGACCAGCTGTCGTTGAGATACGCTTTGCCTGTGGGAAGATTGATCGTCTTCACCCGGCCCATCTGGCCGGGAGCAGGTCGCAGCTGTTTAAGATCGGCCACAAGCTGGACCAGGCCAGTCACAAAAGCGTCCGATACCTCTTTGCCAAGACAGCCGTGCTGGCCATAGCCATACGCTCGGATACCATCTGATCCACGTTTCGGATTGAACTTGGCGTGGTCGGAAACCTCTCTAGGATCACGCCCGGCCTCTCCCTACGCCACAATCAGCTGACATGGAACCTCTAGACAAATGAGCTGCGGCGAACTTACAAGTAGCATTATTACAATGTTACCCGGCTCGACAGACTTTCCCTCGAGCTCAGCTGGCTGCGTCGCGACTCTTAGGTTGCGCTGCGTGCTTGTCAGACGCTGCGCTTCTTTGACATATTCGTGAAGTAAGTCGTGGGCGCCATTCTTCGCGAGGACTTGGACCTCGGCCCAAATAGCCGCGTTTTCGGGGCGTAGGAAGTACTCCATGACTTCGTAGAACTAAAAAAAAAAGACAAGCCGATGTCAGTTGAACCATTTACCACGGATGCATGGTGAGGAGACAAAGACTAACCAGAGTGACCGGCACCCCGACGCCTGCAAAAGCCGACAGGTATAGCTCATCGGTCGCACGCTCGGACGAGCTGCCCTGAGCAAGCAACTGTTCGGCTAGCTGGTACCCGCATGAACGTAGTGAACCCTTCTTGAGATAAGCCCTCCGCGACGCCACGTGAGAAAGGGCGTTGGTAATGCCAAAGCCATAGCCGCGGTTCAGAACCACCTCGTCAACGAGCTGGCGGGTAGACTTGGTCATGACCTTGGCACCTTCTTGCGCACGACGTCGACGATTCCAAGCCTGAGCAGGATCATCATTGTTGATGCACCAGATTCTAAGGTTGATGAGGTGTCGATAGAGCTCGGTAGAGCTGAGGCTGCCTGTCGGGTTCTCGTCGCTGCGCATGTCTAGATAGAATAGATCAGCGAGCAGGCGCGCATTGAGCGGAATGGCCACATCCCGAATCAGATCAATCTGATTGAGGCCCTCCTTGAGCTGAAATGTCTCCTGGTCGATGATCTGTTTCCCGATATTCTGGACGAAATTGTGCACTGCGCCGTGCAAATTCTCCACCTTGCCCATTGCCTTGCTGAAACTGGCACGATGGGCAAAGTTGCGAGGTTCATCACCAGCCAGCATGAACCAACTGAAGTCTTTTTCTCCAGGGAAGACATTGTTTAAACCCGAGAGCCAGGGTACCACGAATTGCTTGGTGTTACCCAGTACCTGCTTGATGGCAGCCGCAGTGGTGAGGACAACACGCTTGCGCGGCGGCCTCGGGTCGTCCAGCGTATACTGCTTGATGGTGCCAATCTCCTTGGCAATTGTCTCATTCATCTTTTTCGTGTACATGGGTTGCATGACGGCGACCGAATTGAACGGGAACCAGCCGGGAAGGCCGCGTTGGATGAGCTTGTACAGCATCGACCCACCGAGGGTCTTGTAGTCCTGTTGTACCTCATTGTGGCCCCAGTTTGTCAGCGTCGCAACGTTGTAGTCGATAGTGTAGAACCTGTCGGAGCGCACGAGGGTGATGGCATCAGCGAGAACGGCCCGTCCGGCCGTAAACGGCGGGCAGAGGCCACTGCCAGCGTTGCGCGCAGGCTTGATATCTTCAAGCATAAGTCCAGGATAGAGCTCAACCATGTCGGGGTCTGTGTACAGCTTTTCCAAGATATGGGCAATATCAGGGTCTTTATTGATGTCCGCGAACTTTTCGTGCCTCTTAAGCCCAAAGAAGTCGCGAAATTCATTGAGGGACGCAACCTGCCACTTGCGGGCCTGGAGAATACCTTGGACCTCTACGATCTTGAGAGCTTTAGGCACTCTGCGGGCACCGAAGGCGCCGGCAGGGTCGTCCATGGCCTCTTTGAGTATCCGAGCGAGGTCCTCGTCCTTGAAGGTGTTGTCTGCCTGTCGCTCCAGACCAGCGAATGTGCGAGCGGAGGGGTCTTTCGGGATTTTCTTTTCGAAGTCCACGAGGGCTGCTCCGAGTTCGTGCCAGCTGATGTTTTCTAAATCATCAGCTTTGCGACCCGGGAAGAGCTTGAGAAAGAAATCATTCATCCAACGCTCGTCCTTTTTCGAAATGCACGAGTGGAAACGGTAAAGTAGGTTGAACTCGACGCTGACCTGGTTGCCAACACCACGGGGAACGCCTTCGCCATCATACTGTTTTCCGATCTCAATGCGTGGGTCAAGTGTCCAGTCACTGTCTGAATGATGCGTATTCGTCGCGGCGCGCAGATAGTCGTGCAAGCAGATGTTGATGTACATTCCGCCGACGATCAGGCGAGCTGTGTTGAAGAGGTCATGGTCCTGCTTGGCCTTTGCCTTGGCCTGATCTTCTGGGCTCGCATCGCTGGTGCATGCCAGTGTGAAACGCCCATTCTCGTTGATCTTGAGCAGAATATCTGCAACGTAGTTGTGGAAACGGCTGTAGAGAACCAGCATGACGTTGACGCCCGCAGGTTGTCCAAGCAGACGTTTCTCGTGAAAGGTGTCAGGCTTGAGTTTACCTTCCACCATGGTGCGAATCTCCAGTTGATCCGTGAGAGAGGAGCCATAGAGCGGTGCCAAGTCAAGGTACGATGAGGTGTCGGACTTGTTCATATCTGTGCGTCGAGTTCGAAAGATATCATGGATGATAATGGACGCATGATAGAAAAGCATAGACGAGAGACCCGCCTCGTTTTCTTTGGAGTCGTCCTCTTCACGGGCCATCAAGAGATCAAAAAGCAAGCTTGCGTCTGGTCGCACACCATGGAGCCGCTTTGTAGACTTGACGGTCTTGGCGTAAGGCGTTCCCGCCTTACCCAGGTTAGGCTCAAGGATATTGTTGAAGCTTCCATCGGGCATGCGGTACTGATGAAGCCCATCTGGAGCTTGGGGGACCTGCTCGCGAAGTCGTATATCACTGCCGGGGGCTGTGAACTCGATGGTGTCATAAACCTTGGGGGTAGGATTTCCACCCTTTTCCTTGGAATTGACAACCTCATACTTGACATCGCCTCCGACGTATGTTAAAGGTGGATGCTGTAGAAAACCCCACAGCGTGTCAATAAGCTTGCTTGTGAGGTAGAACCTAGTCTCCGAGTCGGACGGTAGAGCAGCCAGAATACCGGTCAAAAGCTCCGGTGTCCTGTTGGCCCGTTAGACTTGGACAGCGCTTCCCGGTTGGCAACTTTCAATACCCTTTTTTGTCATCAATCGGCTCACCTTCATTCATGATACCTTTGATAAGACCAACCACCTCCGTTAGGGACGCCTCGCTCCGAAGGGTAGCATAGTCCTTGAAGAGGTCAGATGCAACCCGAACGGGGTCCGACAGAAAGCTTGAGGATGATTTCTTCCGCGCTTCACCGTATGATTCACCGGCCTGAAACTTGTTCGTGGTAGACATAACTCCGTAGAATATTGGGTTCGAGCTTGTCCGAGTGAGAGAAGTCTGAAAAGGGATGGTCGTGTGAGCCGTTGTTGAGATCCCGGTTAACGGGTTTTTATAGCCATACCCAAGGCGCGATCAACTACTCTCGACGTCCGTTGCCATGCCATCGAGACCCCGAGGTACATCAAAAGGCCGGTTTCTTTATGTTCTTAATGTACAGGATCGCGGCTTCGGGTTCACTTTCCGGCCGCCGCCTTCTCATCGATAAAGCTATTCAGGTCAAGTTCTCCTCACTTCCCATCAGATCATGGCTGTTTCTGGCAAGTTCAGGGAGAATCATGCGTCTAGCTCATAGCTGAATACGCAGGAGAATGGGGACGTGAGGGTAGAATAAACAAACGACAACCAATGACTCTTCTCTCTTCTCTCGCATTACACTAGCTCTATCACGTAGGTGCGACGGTGCGCCTAATACGAATATGTCTCATTTATATCATGTGCCACCTCATTGGGTTTCCTTAGATGCCCATTGGGCTTTGGCTAGTTAGAACGTCTCAGATAAGTGACATATCATCCGTCACAGGGAAAGAGTGTGCTTAGAACCCCTGCTGATTATCCTAGCAGTCAAAAAGCATAACGTGCAATCTCCTGGAGTGTCGTATGGGAGCCGTCCGCGGACCACAGAGGGTTCTGGCCAATCAATCAAACTCGCATCCGAGGTACTTAACATATCTGCAGGATTGGCTAGTATTGGAGATACCTGCCATCTTAGAGCTATATTTCGTATTACCACAAATCGTGTAGCACTTCAGCGTTACGCGAGGTTGAGGCTATCCCCAACTCCTCTAATAGCCGATCTCAGAAATTTGGAGGGTTAGGTCGTCGCTATCACTAGAAGAAGAACGTTTCGGAATCATGTCTGCTATCGAAGCTCAAACAGCATTGCCGAGAGGTAAGGTAGCTATAAAGCGAAAAGCTATAACTCATTCTAGTTGTGTTTGTGTTAGAAACTATGTAGCTCTTTAACAACCCGGGGGCTGTGGGTCATTTGACGATCAGCTCCCTTAAGACACTCTAGGAGATAAGAGACCAGGGTTCGTACGCAAGCCGCACCTTGCGGGCCCCAACAAAATGCGGAATGTTGGTTACATGCAGTTTGGCTCTTCGCACGAGTGAAGAATTCGGATTGGTGGCTCGTGTTCAGCCATGAGATGGAATGATGCCCGCAACGGCAGACGTCACTTCGTCATCATGCAGGGAGCTTAAGACACTTGAGGAAAGAAGAGCCAACGGATTGCAAAAAAGATATCGCATGTGCATGTCTTAGGTCTTTTTGATCCGGAGAATTCGATAAGTGCCCACTCCCCAGCTGAATGTGCGAATGCAGCAAATATCCCCCGCCACTTCTTAAACCAGTAAAGCTCATGCGGGAAAACTAGCTGAGCCGCAACTGCGAACGGGAAGTGAGACCGGAAGTACCAGCTGCATCTGGGTAGACTGCGACCCTTTGACGGCTGGTTTGCTGAAGATACATACCGGTACTTTCACCGCACGATTACGATGTAGCGATTTAGTGCTCCAGACGCAACGGATTTGGTAGAGGAAGGGCTCTCCTCCCCGCCAGGGTTAGCTGCTATGGCACTCGTTTCAAAGATATAAAAAGGTTGCTCTCCTAGCCAGATCAGGCGCGCACTACGGAAGACATAGCTCCGTAGCAGTTTGTTCTTGACGTGAGCCTCGAAGCTTCTCGCATCCGATCATACCCATCACCATGCCCGCCTTCGTTGAGACTGGGGCCAGACAGGCAGGCCCCAAAAAACTCGTCCTCTGCTTCGACGGTACTGGCAATTCGTTCAGTGGTTCCAACGCGGACACGAATGTCGTCAAGATTCTGAACAAGCTGGAGCGTAACGAACCTGGCCAGTTCCATTACTATCAAAGTGGGTTCCTCTCAGCTCTCCGTGCCGTTTGCGCTGTCACTCACAGCCTTCCTAGCCGGTATTGGGACGTATGACGTCGATGAGAAATCTGTGCACAAGACGAAGATCGGTGAGATACAAAGCTCCATCTCGCAGACAATTGATCAGGCAATCGGAACGACTTTTGACCACCATGTCATGGCCGGATACCGCTTTCTGATGCGTTACTACGTCTCTGTAAGAGTTGCCTTCCCAAACGATGTGACTGCCAAAGCCATCCTGCTCACACTTTGGCCTCAAGGGCGCCAAGATCTACATGTTCGGGTTTAGTCGGGGTGCTTTCACTGCCCGGTTTCTCGCACGCATGATCCACACCGTGGGACTGCTTTGCAAGGGCAATGAGGAGATGGTGCCTTTTGCCTACCGTCTCTACCAACGCTACTTGGCAGGCGAGACCGAGGATTTTGTTAAGGCATCGTCCGGAACACAACGGAATAAAGACATTGACGTTGATGAGCAGACTAGACAGAGCGACACCCTTGAGCATCACCACGGCCAAGGCTTCGAGCTTGCCCTAGATAAGATTGCAGCTTTCAGCCGCACCTTTTGCCGGAAGGAGTTTACAGATAATGACGGAGTCATGGAGGCGAGCAACATCAAGGTCTACTTCCTCGGAATCTGGGACTGTGTGAACTCGGTCGCAGTTCTGGAGCGTAGTGCGCCGATTCCGCAGCCGGTGAAGGGTACAGCGCACCATGTCCGTCATGCTGTTGCAGTCGACGAGCGACGAGTGAAGTTCAAGGCTGCTCTCATGACACAGGACACGAGCTGCGTGACGCAGAACGACGAGGATATAAAGGAGGTCTGGTTCCCTGGCTGCCACGGCGACGTCGGAGGTGGCTGGCCCGCGGCTGAGAACAACCCACTGGACACAAGCAACAGGCAAGGCATGTCGTGGTGGCAGCGTGTTAAGAGCATCTTCACAACACGCAAGGCCAAGGCGGCTACCAGAGATGTCCGCTTGGACCTTTTCCAGATGAGCGACATTCCGCTCGCCTGGATGATCCGCGAACTCGAGCTGCTGGGCGAAGAAGAACCCTCGGCAGCACTCAAGTGGTGTACCAGCGTCCATGGTTTCAAAAGAGCTTTTCAGGAGAAGAAGAGGCAGGCGTTGTCGGGTCTCATCCATGACTCTCTCTCTTTTGGCACTGGCACGGGGATGTTCACCGTTCTTCTGTGGAAGCTGATGGGTATGTGTAGTCCTGGCCCTGTTGCACAGTGCGCCGCGCTGCAGCTGGCGGGAACCCAGAGCTGACTTGGGCAAACAGAATTCCTGCCCATCATCAAGCGATGGGAGCTCGAGCGTGAGAAGTGGGTGAATGTCCGTTTCCCGCTCAACAAGGGCTCTACTCGTGACATCCCGCGCGATGCGCTGCTACACACTTCGCTGCTATCGCGGCTGCAAAATGATGAGAAATACTGCCCGCCCAACAATCATGGGGGCCAGCTGCTACCTTGTCTTAAGCACAAGGGTACCGTGACAAACTTTATTTCGATTATGGAGGACGGAAAGATCGCAGACCCAGACCATCAACTTTACACTTTTGCCAGAACTGACTGACTCAAACATGGAGACAAAGCAGAGATCTAGAAGACGTTATATCTGCTCCGAGGATATTTGAATAACGGTGGAGCGAGGTATAGCGATATCGTCCGGTAGAATAACACTTCTATCGTATTAATACTCATAAGTCAGTATGTACCAGTGTCTCGAAAGTGTATTGAGACCCCGCGGTCCGCCGATCTCCGCGAGTTATATGGCGGCAATCTCATCCGTTGTGACCGTCTCGTAACGTGGGCGCAAGAAGACCAGCATCTCTTTAGCAGCGGCTCTCGGATCTTCCATATCCGTGAGCGGGGCGCACATCACGACCTGTTGTTCAAAAAGTGCTTGCGCTGCCTCGCGGTAATGCACAGCCTTCTCGTCCTCCGAGCGACGAGAGTCGCGTTTCTTATAATTCAAAATTAACATATAGTAAGGATAAGGTAGAAGTACTAAAGATTAAGTATAAAATATTCTAATATATTATTTAAAACTAAGTAGATCTAAAATCAACGATAAAATCAATAAATGTAGGTATATAAGGATAGCTTTATACCTAAGTTTATTAATATTTATTCTTAGTTATCGCGGGTTCTAAACTTAGAAGAATCGACCTTTAGTATTAGAAGGTATTATATGGAATAGAAGAACTAGACGGGATCCCGTATTTTCCACTAGGTATAGTCGTATATAGTGGAATAACCTAGATTTAATACCTATCAAGTACAATACAAAAGATCCAAGTACTAAGCTAACTTTACGCTTACTAACCCGTTAAGACATTAGGTATTACGGTTTAGGTCCTAACGTGGGTAGCTCCGTATAACGTTCGGGTTAGACTAGCTATAGGGTAGGTAGATCTAAAGTTAGTTTATGAACTAAGTATACTAAGATATCGTTAACTTAAGCGGTCGGGTTATAGTCTATATACGAGATAGTAGATCTTACGTAAACAATCGTATTAATAGCTAAGGAGCTAGGTAAAGACTAATTATAGTAAAGCTAGGCTTCCTATATACTAAGGGGATTATTATACGAAGCAAATAATACTCGTAGATTATAGGGCTTATAAGATAAGTGCGATAATCCGGATTATAGTGTTTTATAGATAATCCTAAGTAATTAGTAAAAAAGAGTGGGTTATGCGTTATGTCACGTGCGAGCCGTATAGCGGCGCATGCGGTCGTATATTAGGTCGTAACACTCCGCCTATAAAACGCCCATGTACGGCGGGATATTAGATTATATAATAATCAATAGATTAGAAGAAGAGCAAGAGATAATATTCTCTATCTAAAGAAGATACTAATGCTATGAAAAGAAGGAAGAACGCGATACCGCGAAGATACTACCTTTTAAGGGTAGCTATAGGCTGAATGTAGAGCCTAACTAATTAGGGCAGTGACTAGCCTAACAGTCACTAGGCCTAACACATAATAGATCACAAGGTGCCAACGGTATTAACCCCCGTAGTATAACGACACTACACCGGTGGCCCCTCCTATATTTTATAACCTATATACTTTTCAATATACCGCTACGAATAAATATCGAAGATTATTAAGCCTTAATTTTAAATATATATAATAAGAGCCTCTTAGTAACTTAGATTCTTAAATTTCTAAATAATACGCTCGTTAATAACGGTAAGAATATTATATTAAAAATTACGCTTAGAAGAGCGCTAGTATTATAGACTACCTTTTATTTAGTAACTTATTAGACCCTAACTATCTTCGAACTATATTTATAGCTAGAATTTCTTAAATACCTTAATTAATAATCTTCTTAAGATACTAATTTATAGCTATAAGAAATTAATAATCTTATTATTAGTAAATAGACCTTATTATACTAGCTAAAAGCATAGGGCTTAGATATAAGATATTAAGCGCTAGGTATCTCGGACGCCTTAATCGATTAGATTAAATACTTTTTTTTTAAATTCGGGCTATCTAATATATCGATTCTATAGGAGCTTTATTAAGAAAGCTTTTACGCCTACCACTCGGCTATAAAGAAAGTTTACTAATAATATAATATAAAACGCCGGGTTAGGATTATTAAAGAATAATAAAGGAGGCTCGATAACGCTATCGAATTCCTTTACTAAGACCTCTAGAGGAGCGGCGCGGTCTTAGGCTTTAATAAAGGCTTATTATATTAATATCTTTATTAGAAAGGGTAAATTATAGTTTTATAGCGCTATCTATATAATATTTATCGGGCTATATTTTTAGAGGAAGTCGCTAGCCGCTATAATAATAACTTTAAGTAAAGAGGTAACTTTCGCGTGCCCGGATATTACGACCTGGTCCCTCGTAACCCCCTATAAGCAGCTATTACGCCTGTATTAATCGCTCGTCATTCGATCAATGCCTGATCTTTTGCCCATGGCGCAACGGTTAGGCGTAACCGTTACACCGGACCGAACTTCTTATAGTCCCTCGATAGCTATAAAAAGCTTAAGAAAGTCGGCTTTTAGATTTATAATTATATCGACGCTTATTCTTATTATATTATATAGTTTTATATAAGCTAATTAATAATAATATCTTTTAATATATTAAAATAATATCTTAAGGCCGTCTAGCGCTTATAAAAGCGGCTCTTTTTCACGAGATCTAACTATAGTATAAAGACGCTACTATAGGTAGCGGCGTAAGTATTACTCGCTAAAGCTAGCCCTAAGAAAGTTAAATATATTAATAAAGATAAAATTATTTATTATTATACCTAAGTATAACGTTCGGGTTAGACTAGCTATAGGGTAAGTAGATCTAAAGTTAGTTTATAAACTAAGTATACTAGGATATTATTAACTTAAGCGGTCGGGTTATAGTCTATATATAAGATAATAGATCTTATATAAATAATTATATTAATAACTAAGGAGCTAATTAAAGACTAATTATAGTAAAGTATAGCTTCTTATATATTAATTATAGATATAAGGGCTTATAGGAGCGTAATAAGCTAGTAAGTTATATATAGAATATAAGCTTATAGTAAGGTCGTAAGCTAACTTATATATAGGCTTGTAATAAAGTTATAAGCTATTATATATAATTAAATATTAGTTATAATTAGAAAAAAAAGTAAGGTATATATAAGAGGCGTATATAGTTATATATCGGGTCGTAATATAATATCTCCCTTCCCGAGATTCTATCTTAGAATTAATTAAAACTAACCGTTAGTCCTATATATAAGCTTATCCTAACTCCTTTCTTTAATTATACTAATATTATATTTAATTATTTAATTAATACCGCTCGTAAGATTTATAAATATAAGAGCCTAGCATATGCGATTACCTTAGATAGTATAAATATAGATATACCTTATATATAACGTTCGGGTTAGACTAGCTATAAGGTAGGTAGATCTAAAGTCGGTTTATAAACTAAGTATACTAAGATGTCGTTAATTAAGCGGTTAGGTTATAGTCTATATACGAGATAGTAAATCTTATATAAATAATTATATTAATAGCTAAGGAGCTAGTAAAGACTAACTATAGTAAAGCTAGGCTTCCTATATACTAATCTTATAAATATATAGTTACTTATAGTCGACTATTATCTATAAGCGACTAAGTTATAGTTAACTATAAGTATATAGCGGTATTATAGGCTAAGCCCTATTAGAATAACTTAGTAACTTAGATTAAGTCTATCTAACGATAAAGGGGGAAGAAAAAGGGGAAAGTAAAGTTCGCGGGCTCCTCTTTTAATAAAACGCTATATAGTCTATATATCCTCGTAAGGTATATAATTAGTCTAGGCCGTCTAGGCTAGGTCTCGTACCTAGCCGTTAATATATTAATAAAACCGTAATATTAACCCCCTCCTCCTCGGAGGCGTTTTATATATATATGACGTACTTATTATATAGTCCTAAAGCTACTAAAGCACGTACTTAATTTCGTTACTTAAATAATATAACTCTATATAGTTCTATATCTTCTTATAGCGGGACGTACGGCTTACTTATATACTAAGAGTATAACTATAAGCCTTATAAAAGTAAGCGGAGGTAATAAAGCCTTTAATTTATCTTATAATAAAGATTAATTATTAATAAAGTTATAATATTACTTTAATTATCCCCTTAGTTATCCTACGCGTCCGTTATATATAAAATACGAGGTCCGTTAGCTATAAAAGTACTTTTTATATTTTGTTACTTAATAATTATATCTTTATATAAATCGGCGGTACCTTATAATAACCCCTATAGCTTATTTATATATAAAGAGCGCGCCCGCGAGCCTTATAAAAGAAAGTAAAGGTAATAATAACTTTAGCTTATTATTAAGTAAAGATTAGATAAGCTTATAAGCGCTTATATATATAATAATAACGGCCCCCGTTAATCTTCTATATATTTTTTTTTCTTTATCCTTAATTTTCGATATTAATATATACCTTTAGTAGCCCGCGGCTATATTATAATATCGCTAGGGTATACTTACTAACTATATATATAACGCGCTATACTCTATTAGTCGCTACAATCTATATATACTTCTTTTAGCGCGCGTAGCTTTTACGTATTATTTATATTCTCTTAGAAGGTATTACTAATATTGTAGATTAATCTACCCTATCTCGCTATTATTATATTCCCGCTACCTTATTATTAATAAGATAATTAATACTAAAGCGAAGTTATATAGCTAATATATATCGTACCTACCTAGTAAGCTATTATTATTATTACTCTTTATTAGGCTAATAAGCATTAAGCCGATATAAGTCCTCCCTAGGTTATCTTTATATTATCTTTACTAATAATTAATAAGGCGAGCCCTTTATTACCCTACCGCTAAGTAAAAAATCGCGGTTCTTAGCTATCGCTATAAGCTCCTATAGGTACCTTTATAGAATTAATATAAAAGCGTTACTTATACTCTTTAGATATATTTATTATATATATACCTTAATCGCGTCGTTCTATACCTTAGCTTACTATAATATAAAGAATAAGTTTAATATATCCCTTATATATCCTCTATACTAACTTAAATAAATAGCTAGGGTTTTAAGTATTATTATTATATTAATATTAAGTATAATTATCTTTTCGTTAGTTTTCTATTTTAAGAAAACCTTTTACTATATTTCCGCTAGCCTAATATAAATACTTTATAAGTTATTCTTAAGGCTATCGCTATTATTAATAACCTCTTAGATTTTATCGCCCGCGTTATTAATATTAGATATAATAAAGATAATAACTCCGATATAAGTCCGTTATTATTTTATATACGCGCTATATACTAACCTCCTAAGAAACTTATACCTAGCGATTCACTAGCGAGCGCGCTACGCGCGTATTATATACTTACCCTCG